ATCCTAGGCCAAGTGGCCCATAAACAAATCCAACAAATAAAAAGTAGACTACAATCTTTTGTTCACTTTTGTTAATTTACAAGTTTAAATTAACACTTTGTAGTTTCTTATGAACCATTTTATGTTCAGATCAAAAGTCTTTCTAAAGTGTATGGACCATCTGGTGTGATGAGTGATATGTTTATAACTTTATAATACAACATTTAAGGAAACGTAGAATTAAATTTAAGCCGTCGGTTGCATGAACGTATTTTCTTAATCATTTGATCATCAAGCTTAATGGAAAATAATCGATGGTCATTTTATCATAGTTACTGTTCTAGAAGTCTCCGTATAGTGCTGTCTAGGCCCTGCTTATGCACTAAGCGGCTGACAACTGTTCCGATTAATCCTTAAGCATTTGAAAATTAAGAAATAACACCTAGACCTACTTAGACATAGGCGCATTCCTAGACCCACCTAAGTCGCCTACTTTCACTTAGACATAAAATTAATAACCTTCATTGGCGTTTGTTTTTTCAAATAAATTGTAAGAGACTTGTTGAATCATTACATGAACACTCATTATATGCTTGTTTTTTATGTTTTCAATATGCTCTAATACATTATAATTTATATGTCATTTTATTTTGCAATTTACCTATCCTAATTTTTTTTAAGTATAATTAGACATTTATTTATATGTTATATAATAAATTTAATTAAAATTAAAAATACAATAACATACCTCTACCAAAGTCGAGACGTGTCGGCCATCACATGAGGGTGACGTAGCCAAGTGCGCAACAGAAGTGTATACGATAATAATAAAATGCGAATAAATAAAAACCAACTAAAATTTAGCTATACTAAAGATAATACTAAATGTGTGGAAGTAACCCAATCAAGCTACAAACGTTTCAGAGCATAGGTATCACAAGTGCAGTCAAATTGAACAAATACTAATTATACAAACCAAGGAGAAAGTCCCTGCACTTATTTATGGGAATGTCAGAACTGCCAGGAAGTCCTCCTGAGCCACCAAAGATGATCAGCTACCTAGAACTTGGAGGGGTGCAAAACAGAAAGGTAAGTGGGCAAAAACAAAACTTTCAAAAACACATTTATTCTTTTCTGAACATAATAACCCATCACTGTAAAACCCGTATAGTTTCCAGAAAATAGTACTACATAGGTATAGAAACCAATGCACAAGACCAGTGAAATCCGAAGTATGCCATGTCATAATATCTCAGGAATATTAAGTGTAAGTCAGGTGTGAAACCAATATAAAATAATATGCTAGTCGGAATCACCTAATGTGACCTGTACGACTGGATCTATAGTTCATCAATCTAGGCTAGCATATAAGTCGAAGTCACTTATGTGACCTATACAACAGGCTGGGTCTAAATATGTACGCTCAAGTGTTACGATCACGTGAAGGTTGTGCTATAAATCGCGGGTCACCTACGAGTTGAAACCACCTATTGTGGTTTGTACAACAGGCTGGCACTAGACATTGGATCCAAGGTGAGGATGCGGTGCGGGAGGTGAATGATCACATGAAGGTTTACCCTAGCCCCGGGTAGAAGCACTAATACGAGGGTACAACCCTGATGAACTCTAAGTAAATATATGCATACCAAAGCAATACAATCCATTCAATCACATCATACTCACCTGAAGCTTACATGAGTCTTCGCAGCATTACACAATATAATTCACAAGTATAACAGTGCAATATTCAAAATGCAACTCATTTACAACATGGCGTTCATAGTATAAATCATTTAAGAAAAATGCTATGGAAACCATAACACACACACATATATATATATATATATATATATATAGAAAGCAAATGTCCACTCACTGCTAAGTAGCAGGATCGCAGTCCCCTAGCCTCGCTTGTCCACGGTCGTCCTCAGGGTACGCCTCACCTATATGCGAAATAACTAATTTAACGTTAATTCGATAACACATGAACAAAACCTAGGATTCATTCCTCATACGTTACTCAAATAGGGTGTTTGAATATACCAACATGATCTACTCGACAACACGAACACCCCCATATTTTTAGAACAATTTTTGAACGTCACATGCACCCTCACGCGCCGGCCAAGGCATAGCTACACACGTTGGCCACGCGCAGGCATGTGCCTGGCACACTGACGGAATCCCTAACAGCATTAGGGAATATTCCGTTAAAAACTAATGGTATTACCTGACACCGTTAGAATATTCCATTAAAGTTAATGGAATATTCTCATTCTTCTCCGGTGGACCTTGCCGGAGCCGTCGTCTATACTCGCTGGTTTCTGGAAAATATTTAAAACTTAATATCTACTTCAATTCTCAACCAAAATCCATGAAATTTATATGAATCTGAAGGTCTTGAAGAGCATAACATGATCATACATATTAAGAGTCCAAAAACCAATGGAAAATGGTCGGAAAAACCCTTGGAAAAACCGGCCAAAACTGGAATCCTTTGAACTCGTGTGTCCCGACATCTAACTACTCCAAAACTAGCCTAGGGTCCTATAGAGTCGATTAGGAACCTCCTTGAGCCTTAAAATCTTGGAAAAAGGCCACGATCACACCAAAGTAAAAAGACACCTTGCCGGAGGTTATGGTTCCTCCAGTTAAAACACGTTAACTCACCTAGCGAATGGTATCATGAGATTCTAGAGCTCGAGAGGAGTGTAAAGGTGGAAATCATGAGTTTGATCTGTGAAGTTTTGGTATAGTTTGAGTGTGGGTGTGCTCTCGGGTGTACGGACAAAGGAGAAGGATCGGGAAGAGGTAAGATGGTAAGGGTATGCGTACGTGTGTGCACGTATGGGATTGGCTAGAAGAAAATGATAATAAGCCCTGATTGGGCTGCCATGAGAAAGAGGGAGATAAAGTTAGGTTTCAGTTGGCCCAAAGGAAAAATAAAACAAACCCAAAGTCTGATTGGGGCCAATAAAGTAGGGAATAAGGTGATTGGTGGACAAGAATAGATATAATCCACCCTAAAATATATTTATACCCATTCTCGTTCTTTAATTGTCGTAACTTTCCATTAGAAAACCGATTCGACCCTAACTTACGTCAACACGCTTCTGACGTCGAGTATGATTTAATTACGACGGTAGAAATAATAATTTAAAACTGCATATTCACATCCACGTCACTAAGCCAATGAATCATATTCGTCACTTTACACACTCGGGGAGAAAATATATAATAATTTAGGACGAGCCCCCACCACAACTGAACTTTTTTTCTTGCTTTGCAATGCATATGTGTCACCACCACATCCCAGGCTCAACTCCACTGTAGCACAATATTGTCCGCTTTGGACCCCGACCATACCCTCACGGTTTTATTTATAGGAACTCACACGAGAATTTCTCAGTGGGTCACCCATCCTAGGATTGCTCTCGCACGAACTAGTTTAACTTTGAAGTTTCTACGAAACTCGAAGCCAGTAACCTCCCAAAATGCCTCGTGCTAGGTAGAGATGAGAATATGCAAATAAGGCTTACATGATCCACTCCCCCGAGCGATGTGGGATGTTACAATCCACTCCCCTTAGGGGCCCGACGTGGGATGTTACAATCCACCCCCCTTAGGGGCTTGACGTCTTCGTCAACACACTTCCGGCCAGGGATTGGCTCTGATACCAAATTGTCACATCCTGACCTGGGCCCCCACCACATCCCTGGCTTGACTTCACTGTAGCACGATATTGTCCGCTTTGGGCCTTAACCACACCCTTACGATTTTGTTTATGGGAACTCACACGAGAACTTCCCGGTGGGTCATCCATCCTAAGATTGCTCTCGCACGAACTCACTTAACTTCGGAGTTCCTACGGAACCCGAAGCCAGTGAGCTCCCAAAATGCCTCGTGCTAGGTATATATGAGAATATACAAATAAGGCTTACAAGATCCACTCCCCTAGGCGATGTGAGATGTTACAATATGTATATGTCATGTTCACATAGATATCAATAATCACTTGCTCAATAACATCTGCAACACTAATCAAACTGTTAGTAGCCAAAATTATATTATCAATAATATATATAGTATGAATAACACAAAACAATTTAATTGAAAACTATTGCTTTACCATTTTACTCTATCTCTCTCTAGGTGATATTGATGCATAAATCCATTTTAGTTCCATAGAGCAATCTGTTGGGTGAGCTCTCATGCATTTTATGGGATTTGTCCCTTATTTTACAACATTCTCAAGGGAAGTAAATGGATATTTTTGATAGTTTGGTGTGAGTGCTTCTTATGACAATGATCTCCAAAATAGAAATGCATAAACAATACAAGAATTAAGTGGTTCGTCAAATCAACTACATCCACTGGGGTTTGCTTTCATTGTATTTCACTATATATGAGAAACTTACAAATACAATGAAAGATGGCTTAAAGCCTGAACAATATGTAGAAGAAAGATAAAGAGGTAATATGAAAGGGAAGATGAATTTATTTCTATAGCTAAGATATGACTCATTCCCTAGCTCATGAATGGTCTTTATTCGCTGGTCGGGGCGTGACATGGAATGACTCAATTGGTAAAAGTCAAGGACTAAATTTATCGGTTTTTTAAACTCAGGAACCAAAATGAGAAGTTTGGTCAATGTTAGAGACCATTTGCTATAAAAATCATTCTTTTGTGTAATCAACGTGTCACAATTTTATTGGATTTGTGGATCCCACATACAAACTAACCGAATAATTAATAGAATCAAAATGGAAGAACCAACTTGATGGGCGGTAGTGAATGTTAAGGAGGGCATTAATTGATTTTGAAAATGAATGATCATAATGATGAGTTTGATCAATTTCAATAAACCATTTGTTATAAAAACCCAAATATCATTATATTTTTCCAAAAAAAAAAAAACAAATATTCGTTTTTGCCCAAAGAAGAAATCATTATTTTATTAATATATTTATCTCTGTGTTCAAATTTGGCATTTCATCGTCGGCGGGTAAGCTCTGCTCTGCTCTGCAGCCAAGTATTAATAACACAAGCGTACAAACCAGTTTCTCTCTCCTCTCCTCTCTCTCTCACTCTCTCTCTCTCTCTCTCTTCCCCTTTATTCTAATTCTTTCCCTACTCTCTATTCTGTCTGTGACATTTCTCTTAATTCCTAGTACGATTAGGTATTGATTCTCATAAAATCTGTCTTCGACTCTCTCTTCCATTCCATGCCCTCTCTTTCTGTGACTTGTGGAGGAGGAATTCTCATTTGCTAGTCTTTCCAAGAACCACTCCGACGACCTGGTTTCTCTCTCTCTCGCGTCCTCTCTCATCAGGGTCAGTGTTTCTCTAACTTTTCACTGCAATTTTGTTGCTCTTCTTCTTTCTCCTTCTTCTTCTTTTTTTTTTTTTCAAATTTTTTTGAAAAAAGAAATATGTATCCGAAAGATATCTGAGCGTGGATTTGATGGTTGAGTTGTTCCTTGTTTCTGATCAAATGGGTTTTTTAGTTTTGTTTAATTGCTTCAATAAAGATTCAAAATTTAGTATTTTTATTAATTAGCTTGGATTAAAGCGCAAGAATTTGTTTGAGGATTAAAGATTTTGATGTTGGTAATGAAGTGCTGCAAGGAATCAAGTGTTTGAATTTTGTACTGGGGTGCTGTAATTATTGTTGATTAATTAGAATATTAGGAATTTAATTTGCCCATTAAAGCACTTAGGTCTTTGGGTATTTACTATTTGACCAGAAAGAAAGAATAGGACCAGTCACTTTCACAGAGTGTACCTAACCTTCTGTTTGGCTGCTGAGAAAGAAGAAAAGGAAAGAAAATGATGAGAATGTTACCTTAATTACTCCAGAGTTTTGTTGGTTGATGCTACATTGACTTTATAAATCTTTGGTGGCCAGTAGTGAAAGTTCAAGTCCAATTGGTTTATTTGCTTTTGGGCTTTCGGGTGAGTGTAAAGCCACATCGAGGACTAGTATTTAGCTTGACGAAAATAGTGGATCTCAAACAATGTCTGATTTTAACTTCATTTTGTTAGATATTAAGTCGGTTAATTAGCACGTCGGCATGAGTTAAGGGAGTTTTAATTCAAAAACTTGGTAGCTTGGGAGGAAAAGCAATGCTCGATTTGGCAGTACATTGAAATAGATACTGTTTGTTTGGAAATCTTTGTTTGTCTAAATTCTTGTGATGCAACACATGCAAAATAATCATGAAAGTGTCATTTAGATGACAGTCGATTCATCTCGAGTCGTTTGAAATTAAATAAGTCTGTTTTCCTGAAGTGTCGAAAGTGTTTACTGCTCGTTGACATTTTTGGTATCAAACCGAAAAAACTGTGGAAAGAGTGTCTGAAGTTTCCAAGTTAGTATGTTTTATTGAACTCAAATCAACTTTCAGTTGGTATTTACACTTTGTTTTCGCAAGGATTGCTCGGCTTATTTATCAGTTGTTGGTTCATAGACTTGTTTTAGTAGATTTAGTTTTCTTACTTGCCTTTATATTGGACCTTTAAATCCGACACTGCCACACACTAGATTAGTTTATATACATCTCTGATATGTAGCTACTCACGTTCCTTAGTTTCTTTTCTTCTTTGGAATGTAATTTGATGAGAACAGGGTGCTTTGCAGGAAAGAAAACTATAGTACACGATGCTAAAGAATATGATGGAAGAGAAGCAGTTAGATCTTAATCAGCCACTTCTGTCTGTGAGACGATTTTCACCTACAGCAGTCACCTTCGAAGCTGATGACAAAAGGAAGACTGATAAGTCAATACCCAAACTTCCTCCTCTTCCCTTTTACAAATCAGAACTGAAATCAGGTCCAGTGGGGCACCCAGGTACTGTTCCTTTTGTATGGGAGAAAGTCCCGGGAAGACCCAAGGATGAAAGAAATTCACAAACTCGGGGTCTTGAACAGCCTCCCACTACGCCAAGGCTTCCACCTGGAAGGGTTTTGAATGCTAAGAAGCAAGCATTGGATAAATGTTCTAAACGCACTACAACTGCTCAGTCCCCAACTGGAAATGTACATTCTGATTTTAACAATGTTTCAACCTTTGATACAAAAGAAGTTACCAAGTGTGACAGCCTTAAAGAGGGGATGGATGATAAGGATATTGCTGATTCAGAGGATGGTGATGAGACCTATTTAGATGCACCTGACACACTTTCGAGGAGTGAATCATTCTATTATAACTGTAGTATAAGTGGTTTGAGTGGACTGGACGGTCCAGATGCCAAACCATGTGGAACCTTCTCAACAGATCCACAGACTCGTGACTTCATGATGGGTCGGTTCTTGCCTGCAGCAAAAGCAATGGTTTCAGACACACCTCAATATGCTACCAGGAAGCAACCAGTTGCACGAGAGCAAGCAATTTCTCAAGAGCAACCAAGAGGGATGAAGAAGGTAGCGAGCGGGGTTAAGCAACATCCACTTAATCAATATAGGCCAAATGATTTGCCACATAATGTTCAAGATATAGCTGGGGCAAAAGTGAGAATGAAGGTGATTATATAAGGATCTGAAAATTTATTAGGTAAAGTTTGTGAGTCATTTCTTGATTTAAAAATTTTTTTTTTTTTTTTGCCTTCTGAACCTTGTCCCAGGTATGAGAGGGCAACCGCAATCACCCATTTCTTCAGTTAGTAGACTGCGAGCTAAATCTTCCTATGCCAGTGCTTACAGAGAAGCTAAAAACGAGGTACTTTGCCTTATTTACTTGCGTTTCCCCGGTTTTCCATGTGTTATTATCACTTCAAGAATCTTTATTGAACAATTTCTATATTTTCTCTAGCATTCTGGGGGTGATGGACATCAGGAAGCTGGGATGCCTGAAGATAGGAATGATTTGAAATGTGAATCCAACCAGATCAAAATAAGCGAATGTCAGAAATTAGATGGGTCACCTGTATATAGGCGTCAGCAGGGTAGTAACATATCACCCTATCGAAAGGAATGCTTTCATCATGAAGAAAAAGGTTTTCTTGGTCTTCCTGAAAAAGCGAAGAATTCCAGAGATACTATTAGCTCTGGAAAGTATCGAAAAGGCCACAACAATTTTAGGGAATTATTGGCCACTGAGAATGTTACTCAATGGGAAATGGGCCCAGGGAGTCCTGTATTTGAGAAGAATCTGTATATTGATTTTGTGCATACTGTAAAATCTCCGAAGTCGAAGTCACATTCCTCAGATACAAAGGGCCATATTATTCAGTACAGAGGGAATGATATTGAAATTCCTGAGAAAAGTAATGAAGTGAAAGAAACCCCTTCGGCAGAGTTTTCATTCCAAGATATTGAGTGCTTGGGTGATGGAAATGAAAAGGCAATAGTGCCATTTCAAAGTTTGGAGTCTCCTGACTCCAGCTTTCTATCTTGGTCTGGCAGATCCAAGAAGGATGATCAAACAGACATGAGAAATGGTTTTTTATCGGGTCAGGATTCTAGCAAATTCGCAAGCTCAAAAGTGGCTGAACAAGAAAGGTGTAACTTGAAAAGCCAACATTTAGAGAAATCAGTTCATTGGGAAAATTTTAATGGGCTTACTCAGGATTGTATTACATTGACAAGGGCGAAACTGAATGATGAGAAAAAGAGTGATTTAAAAAGCCAACAGTCTAGAAAATCAGGAACAGAAGAAAGTTCCCGTAGCCATGTTCAGAAGTCTATTACATTGACCAGCTCAAAAGTGGCCAATGGAGGAAAGATTGATTTAGAAAGTCAACGACTTGTGAAATTTGGTAATCAAGAAAGTTCCAAGGGCCACAATTCACGACTGCCTCTTGGACCACCTTTACCGAAATCTCCATCAGAGTCTTGGCTAAAGCATACCTTACCTAGTATTTCCTCGAGGAGCTCATCTTCACAGTGTTCTTCTGGTTCACAGATTTATGCTAGCAGCCAGCCTTCGAAGACGTCCTCTCTTGGTCCCAAATGGGAGACAATTGTTAAAACTTCTAACAAGCACCATGGACATCTGCGGTTTTCAGAGGTAATTCCTTAACTCTTCACCTTAACTGCTTCAGTTTACCTGTTTGGGGATTGGATTTGTTAATGATACTCAATTTATATTTTGTCAGGAGCTTCTGACACCTATACCGGAAGCTTAGAAGTCGGATGTTTATCTGAAGCTCACCAGCTTACGTGAATATCCACTCTTTCTATGGGTGTAAAGGTGCTGAATATAGTTTTATTCCTTTCACTTTTCTAAAAGTTTCTCTCGAATGTGTTGCCCTTGTAAGCTTTATACTCGGAAGTTGGTACCTAATGAAAACTATATATCAACAAGCCCATCTCGTATCGTGTAATTTTCTTGTAAATCTCATCATATCATTTTTTGAACTTAACTTTCCTGTAGTAGGATTCTTGTGTAAGGGAATCAAAAGATGTATTTGTTTCTTCATTTCCTTAATAAAAGAAAAGTGATGTACTTTGAGCCACTCGCTTTATCTTCCGTGCATATTAAGCTGATAAATCTTTTACCAATTCGATATTTTTGTTGAGTTGATGAGGTTTTAGAATTAACATATGGGTTTGGTTACATGAATTTGGAGGCTTAATATCTTCCGATCAATTATTGATCACATTTTTGTGTATATTATGGCTAGTTTGAGGGAGAAGTATTTGTATATGTTTTGCTTTAAAAGCCTAGGATTCTTTTGCAGTGTTCCTAAGAAACTGTTGCAAAAGTGAACCATTTATCACATCAGTGGAGTTGCCGTTGCTATATGTGATGTCTCTGATATTCAACAGGGAATAGTGATGGTTTTGGGTCAATCGGCCGTGCACGAATGGGCTGCTCATAAAGCACCAACGGCTGGAAGCCGTACACAGGCAACTGTACCAAGTCAACTCCTTACTGGAAAAAGATTGTGGCACATCTCATTAGTTATTGTTAAGTTGTGTGTGGTGTAACTGCTGTTAATATTAATTTGTTCTGCCAGGCGAATGGTACCATCTTTACCTCATATTGGTTTTTCATGCTTTTGCTGAATATTGACTTCCTGAACTGCTCAGAACTCCTTTGAACTCTCTTTGCTTGCAAATTAAAAGTTTGCAGGTTGCTATTATAGGGGAGTTCTTGTCAGCTGCCTTGCTGCCACTGGAACCACTAGCTGTACGTGTTGCTGCTCAATGAATTTTCTGTACTGTTTCATATCTATGTCCTATATATCTAATCTGCTATGTCCTATAAATCTGTATTCTTCGGTTGGATCTCGATAAGCAGCTCAGAACTTCACCCGTCCCAAATTTAAAAAAATTATATTTCTTTCAAACCTCCTTACATTACATGATTTCCATTGAGTTAAAGAAAAGTAGTTTTGTGACTGGCCTACTAGAGTTCTATTCTGACATGGTTATACGTATACTGGATACTTTGTATGTAACTACATATAACACAGGAATTGTGCACTTTTTAAGAGAAAGTAAGGATTGTACCGTTTTCGTATGTGATTCCACTGGTGTATCTGATTCGATCCTGATCCTTTTTGGTGGTGCATTGAACCATGGAGTCCAGGTGATTATTCAATTGTATAACCCTGAGTTAGTACAAATGCATGGAATTGACTTACTGTGATCTTGTATTCTGTACTTTCCTCATTTTATTTTTCTCTCTTTTTTCACCATTAGGTTGGGCATTTGAGAATGTTGGACGGTTGTATCGATTTCTTCCTGGATCCTAGGTTGGTGGACTGCTAAAGGAAGAAGTTAATGAGCTTATTCAAAAGAAGGTGAGCTATTAGGCATTAATTACTTATAAGAGCCTATTCTGTTTGTTGTTTAATATTGTACTTTCTTGTTTTAGCCTTTAGTACTGGGGTCAAAATCCTGGTTTATTAGCAAGGAAAGGGGGGCTTATGACTTGGTTGCCTGTCTTGTATGAACGTTACGTTTGTTTCTTCCTAGCATCTCCAGATTCTTGTACTGGGGATTTTTACACCCTTGCAATGATGCACAGCTTGCAGATCCTAGCCTTGATATCGACAAGGAAGGGAAGTACCTTATGCTTGCTATTCAAGAGCTGGTATCTGGAGATCAATATGAAGGGAGATTTGTATTTGGTCGTGACTGCAGGAAGCCAAAGGAGTCTGGTGATAACAGCAGATTCACTAAAGACGGGACCAATCCCATGAGTTTGCCTCAAACTCTGTTGATGAAAGCAGGACACTGCTCCAAAATACAAAACAAAGCACCTTGAGACGAACGAGTTGAGAGGACTGGTGGAGTGCAAGGGCATGTAATTTGTTGGGAAACCTAAGAAAAATAAGCAGCTTGCAGAAAGGGATGCTGCTATATAAGCACTGGCTTGGTTGACTCACACATCAGACAACAATTGTGATGAAGAAGACAACTCCCCGCCTGATGGCACTGACAAGATGCTAAAACTCCTCGGAAATGTAGAAGATCAAAATGGCAGTCTGGTTGAATGTGATTACAGATGTAAAAGATGAAGCTGCTTCCATCTGGTGGTTGAGGACGCTGTAAGCCATATCTCCCTAGGACACATGGGGCGCGTTGCATACATTCAGCTTGTTGGTACGTAGTTTTGGTAGAGTGGGCTAGTATATATACAAATCTTTTCCTTGTGTTTGCAGGGGTGTCATAGATGGTCGAAGCCGTCTGGATTGTATCTTGGCAGCCGGTGACACTAGTCACTGAGTCTGCTAAGTTATGCAAAGGGGTGTGTGGATAGCACCACCCTAAAACTATTTACAACGATTGTTCTTGTAAACTTGTTAGATATCTCGGGTTGCACGATTTCTTGTAATTTGTAGCTAATTCTATTAAATCTATTACCAATTTCAATCCAATCATCTATGGTCAGACAAGGCCCGGCCGTAGATTGATTTTTCAATTGTTGATTATATTTTGCAATTTTTCACGTCTAATTGTATTTCTTACTTTGTCAAACCATGGAGATTATGAAAATAGATGCATTCCTACAAATCTCGACAACCAACAGAGATTATTTACATGGCCCCATTAAATTTCGGGTGGTTATATAAAAGTGATCAGATAAGCAATTTTGTACTATAAACGTGCATCCTTAACTATCTAAAGATCATTATGCTACCAAAAAGAGAGTATTACATTTGACCGGTCGTTAAATGGTGTTGCATGTGTTAAGTAAATGCATGGAGCGTCGTAGCCAAGTCTCATGTATGTATAAATCTCTACTACTAAACTTTTAATTCTTGTGCTCCTGAGCTTCAGCTTTGTCAACTATGTACTGTTCATGGTTTAATGGTTTACTGTTCAGCCTGGGCTGCTTAGAACTTTCTAATGGTCTGAAACTTGGGGGATTAGCATTGAACTAGATTAATATGATTCAATTTATTCAAAACAGCTTATGGATTAATCTCGTCCCATTTGTTTAAATATATAAACTGATTGGAGCCGCAATAGCAAATAAGATGAGAGAAAATTGGTTAAGGTGGTTTGGACATGTTAACCAAAGACTTACAAATACTCCGGTTAGAAGATGCGTATATGAGACATAGGTTGATGGCAAAAGAAGTAGAGGAAGATCTAAAAATACTTGGAAAGAGACTCTAAGAAAAGACATGGGAGTATTGGAGCTAACCGAAGACATGGCGCAAAACCGAGCGCAGTAACGTTCTAAGTTTGTACAGACCATGCTTAATTAGTGGAATAAGGCTTTGTTGTTGAATAAATTGATCTTGCTCTAACTTACGTAAAACATTAGGATTCTGGGAAGGTCTGTTGATTTATTGGCAGCCTCATCATCCAATTCAAGCCCAGTTCTGAATAATAAAACTTCAAAGAAGTATTCATGAAGTTTCTGCAAGTCAGAATTGTCAACCAAATACTTTGAACAGTATGATTTCAATTCAATACGTCACTAACATTATAGGTATAAACACACGCACAGATATATATATAGTGACTCTGTATAATCTTGTTATTAGTTTGCAACACAGAAAAAATGGGTAGAACATACGTTGGCGTAGGTGGTGGCCATGCAGGCGAAGTAGGTATCGTGATGCCAGATCACAACTCGGGGGGCCTGCTTTTGCTCTGCATGATTCTTATGTCCCTCTCACTTATCTCAATGGTCATATTTGCCTGTGGTGATCACAAAGGATCAAACAAGAAAAGACGTGGAGGTGGCGCTGCATGTGGAGGTGGTGGTGGAGGTTGTGGTGGTGGCACTGCATGCGGAGGTGGAGGTGGTGGCGCTGCATGTGGAGGTGGAGGTGGTGGCGCCGCATGTGGAGGTGGAGGAGGCGGAGTCTGTACTTAAAAAGGCGGCGGAGGTCGAATTTATGTTTTCATAAAAATGAAAAAGTAAGAATTTAAGCAAAACCTGTTGTTCTTATGGTTGTTCTTGTTGATGTTGATATTGATATTGATTTTGTACATGTATCTATGATGGTCAAATTTTGAGTATGTATTTTTTTTAATGGATAAGATGTTTTATTCAATTTTCAAACTACTAAAATCATACAAATAGCAGTTTAAAATAAAAGTAATACTATTGACATATTTTTTTTTATCTCTCACACACTCCTATTAATTTTTGTCCATTAACCTTCTTCAATTTATTTGATTGGATGTCTAAAAATTGAAAAATGTAAGTAAGAGGAAAAAAGAGGTATATAGATAACACTACCCTAAAAAAAAACAAGAAAAGTAAATTATGATTAAATACTGAGTGGGACATAAGTTTTAAAGAAAATTATCAATTTGTGGGCCAAGAGAATTATAACGATATTACATTTACAAATTTGGCCCATTACACAATACTCAAGCCCACCTAACTCATTCCCATGAAAAGATCATTAAAATTTCGCCGAAAGAAATTCTGACTACCAAAATATTCACTAGAATTTTTACCAACAATCTCCTTAAAAGAATCCATATGAAATCCAACACTAAAAATTAATAAACTTGTTGTAATTAATCTTAGCACATGTTTAATTGTGTAAAGTTTAAGTAGAGATTATATTAGATTCCTAAAGGATCTAGAAGTTCTATCCTTGTATTTGTATTACTTGAGGAATTATAAACAAAAATTGCTCGGTTTATTTTCTCTTTTTGTCATCCCTCTCTCTTTTCCTCTCTAAAATTTATGCCGCAACACGCTCATTACGTTGGCTATGAATTTGGAGTGGTCCCTTCAAGATAAGAGGTTGGTCACATCAATTAAGTACTTCTAAATATAATTTCAATTTCGATAATTTTTAGTCTTGATTGCATGAAGCATTCATCCTTATGCATCAACCCTAATTTATATTTTTCTAGTTACACACACACTGACAACCCGTTTCTAGTTCTATGATTTTATAAATTTTGAAAGCGTGAACTGACGAAAATGCCCCTAGAGGCGAGGGTGCCGACTTCCGTTGACCTGGGTTTAGGGAAACGCACGAAACATTCTTTTAGCGTATCCTTGTAATGCTCATTACTACAAACACGTATGATCAAGCGGAATTCAATTTGGAGCTAAAACAAAGATTTTACGAAACTCGGAAAGATGAGGCCTTTTGGTAATTTTAACATTGGAGGTATTTCTACATTTTGGACCACACTTGCGCTGACACGTGGCAAGTTCTCCCCCTCATCTCTCATTTCCACTCTCTCTCGTCTTTCCCTCTCTATACGACAGCCAACAAAGCTTTCCGTGTTAAAGAAATCAACCCCATCTCATTGAAAGACCTACACAAATCTAGAATAAAGAATTCTAGAACATTCACTAAGGTTGGTTAGCTAGATTATCCAAGTTAGAGTAGTTCTTTGTAGAAATGACTAGAATGTTGTTTCTTAAATTGGTGGAAGAGTCTAGAAGAATGGTAAGGTTTATACCAGCATGCAAGATTAGTGTAGATAATTCTAGCTTAGGAAGTTAGTGGAATTATCTAGATATCTCTAGCATGATGTTTCCATGCTTCTCCAAGGTTCCATCCATGCCTATAAAAGGACAAGGCATCCACACCATTTGTATCAATTAGGAAGACTAAGTGAGAGTGAGAAGTAGGAGTAGTCTTGTGAGGAGTGTGAGTGGTCTAGAGTTTGTCTCTAGAAAGAGTGAGTGTCATAGCTTCAAAGAGTGTCCTTGAGAGTTTGTGTGTTGTAATATTTTGTATGTGTAATACAAGTAATTTGTTTACTTGTGTTATCTCTCCAACACTTGTGTTAGAGTTGTGCACTCTAAGTTTTTCATCAACACTCTGACGATCTTTACCACACCAGACCCCTATGGCATGTCTCTCTCTGTCTGTGTTTTTTTTTCCTGCATCGCTCCCTCAAACTTTCTAAAAACTCTCTCTGCACTCTCCGTACATGGTAGCACCACATCACCACTACCTGACTACTCAGGCGAACCAGACCATCAAATCATCACTGCGCCTTGTCCTTCCTTATTTCTGTAAGCTCAGACCGTGAGCATCAAACCCAGACATGGAGCGTGCACTGCACAGTGGCCATTGCCATCATCTTCCCCGACGAGTTCCCGTCGATTCCAACAAAGGTAAGGTCCCAGAGCACTAGATTTAGCTTCTTTCATCAAGATTATGGATGTGTGACTTAGTTTAGGCATTTTGGTGAAGGGTTGACATTGAAATAACTCGGAAGAAGAAAATTTCCCAGTTTTGGCAGAGGAACCCGTGACCATTTGGCCACATTCAGGCCATTTTTCTGACCAATACCGACGTTAACTTGGCTTCACCTTGGTATGGTTTTGTTCTCTACATATCTAACTTCAAAAGGGATTTTGAATCATCAAGTTTGGTTAAGTATTGAACTAGAAATTAGCTATGAAAGTTGGGAAGAAATTTCCAGATTTCTGAAAAATTTGGCTGTGATCATCATGCTACTTTTAGGCCGTTTCCCCATTCAACTTCGGCCATGATTGGACCCTGAACTAGTATAAACCTCTTCCCCACATTCCTAGCTTATAGTTGGCTTTTGAATCATCGAATTTGGTTGAGAATCGAGCTCGAAATAAGCTCTGAAAGTCAAGGGAAAAATCTGGAAAATTGTGGTGATGGCGTGTGGGCTGCGCGTGGCTGCCACCTTATGGCGGCGCTGGGAGGAACCCAAGGTCCCTCCTTAGGTTCCTCGACGTGCCGGACCAGAATCCGCCCTCCGTTTTTCGAAATTCAATCGTTTTAAAATAGTTTCTTTAATAATCGTACTTTGTATGAAAAATAAGTGTATATGTTAATATGTTATATATTTACGTTAAATGGTTTCGTTTCTAGGCGAAATGCATCACTAGGACTCTTGATGCTATGAGACGAGTTCGACTCGACGATCTGATCTGTGAGTAGGCATATATATATATATAAAGTTTTATAGTTTCCACAAATGCTTTTGAATTGATTCATGCCTATTATGCCATGTTTAAATAATGTTACAAGAAATGTTGTATTGTTGTGAAATGCTAAAATAATACTACGGGATGCGTGGGTAAGTTTATTATGTTGACTAGAATTATTGAATCGTTATGGCATGTTTATATTTATGTAGTCAGCTTATCATTGCTGCACCCGATGTTAGTGCTCGCCCAGGGCCAGGGCCAGTCTTTGACATGTATGTTCACATTCGCACCTCACACTTGCCTTTGATCCAAGTAGGTGCCAGTCATGTCGTACAGGATGCAATAGGCAACTCTGACATCTTGTCGTATAAGTTGTAATAGGCAACTCTGACTCGTATGTGACCGCGAATAACGCCAATCTTCACGTGATGGTAGCACTAGAGCGTATATTATGATTACACCCTGTCTTATCGTACATAGTGCATTAGGCAACTCCAACTTTTGTGCTAGCATAAGTTGATGAGCATCAGTTCAATCGTACAAGTTGCATTAGGCGACTCCGACTTGTGTGCTATCATAGATTGATGAGCATCTGATATGATATGTTTGCTTATGCGAGATTATGTGATATTGGTTGTTATATGTTGATTTACGCAATATTGCAATGTATGGCAATTTTGTGATTTTGCAAGCTACGGTAAGTATTTTCTAGTATGTATATTTTGGAAATTATACTTGTTTTACGGCGATGGGTTTTAACGTTTTCAAAAGGTTTTTATTAAAACTTTATTTTCAGGCTCACTCACCATTGTTTTTCGCCCATTCAGGTTTTAGTAGTTGAGCCTTCGTATCGACGATGATTCTTGGCAAATCCCAGTATAGGTGACTACCTATGATGATATAATCCTTATCCTACCTTACTGTACTTTACTTATGCTTTGTCATCACGTGTGAAATGGGTTCATTCTCGCTCACCAGCACACTCTTATATTTAGGCACTTATAAGTTTAAATTTATTCACATTTTTCACATCACTACACTTTAGGGATTCATCACCTTCCAGGTGTTGGCCATCACAGCTCGATTCGGAATCCAAGTGGACATTCCAGGTTAGGTTGTGCCATATATATATATCATGTTTGATTGTATTGATCGATTATTGCTAGTGGTGAATTATGTGTGAGAAACAAGAAAAAAAAGACAAAAAAGGGAAATCAAATCTTAATCACGTATGCTCCCAGCACTAGGGACGAGAGAGGATCATGGGATCCTTTAATCATATCCGTTCATCATACATTGTGCGATCGGTTTTTGTCAAATATTGTTTATATTCAATTTTAAATAAAAAAAATTACAATGATTTTTGACCGCACGATATACGATGAACAAATGTGATTAGAGAATCCTCACAAAGAGGATCCGGCGAGGATCCTCACAAAGAGGATCCGGCGAGGATCCTCCTAGACTAGGGACAACATACATTCTCATTTTTTACGTCTTCTTGTCCTCGATCACACATCTGCATTATAGCCTATGATAGCCCTAAATGTGGCTCCGCTAACGCTCCTGCACCGCGTCGCGCCCAACACTAAGGATAACAAACATTCTCGTTTTTGACGTCTTGTCTTCTTAGATCACACATCCTAAAGAGGTGGGTCTCATTAGTTGAAGAGAGAATCTCGACTCTTGACCCAATTTTACATTTAACCCATTGAATTATAATTCACATTTTCATCTTCGAAAAAAATAAGAAAGATGCAAAATATAAGTTTTAAATCTTAAATTTGCATCTATTCATTGAAGATGCACTAAGAAAAGGAAACCTTGGTATAGTAATACCATTGTCATTTGGTGTCAATCAAAATTACGTTAAGATAATTAAATCACCTTGGAGAAGAATCCTCGTTTAATTAACCCAAATTATAGAAATTCAAAATTTAAATTTGAATGCATAAAAATGAGCACCTAACTCTAACCAACTTAATCAATTTCAAATTTGAGCCATGCATTATTGGTGCTGTTGCAAATTTAGTATTTTGGTGTAGATATATTGAGATGCATAGACAATTTAGAACCAAACAATGAAAAGTGCTGAGTAAAAAAGCACCAACTGTGTGATAGAAACTTTTTTAGTTGTGATTGAAACGTCACTCAGTAATGAGTACCTAAATATTATCCTATTTATAAAAATAAGCAATCAAGGAGTGTTGTGTCATTTTGCAGTTTAGTTCATTTAATACAAGTGATATTGGGGAAAAAAGAAAAGAAAAAAGAATCGAACTCGTGAATACAGGTTCTATTTACTTAGTCGAATTAAATGGCTTGACATGCATTAAGCCAATGGTGATCACAATAAAGTGACTAAACGTTGTTTTGTCTGACTAATTTTTAGTAAGGATGATCATCGAACAATAACCTAAATATTGAATGGTCTAAATCATGAGATAACATAGTGGAGTGAGGCCAAATGAGTAGTTAACGTTGTACTAAAAAACTAATTGGTTACAAATGGTGAGCTGATTGTTGTCCATATATAAATATATAGTAGTTCTAACCAAATGGTAAGTTAATACGATGCTAATTACTTGTTTGGAAACATTTCAAAATATTGCTCATAATTTGATCTGAAAGATCATCTTTGAAACAATTCATTCGCATAAAAAGCTTTTTAAAACAATACTACCACAAACAAATTAACAAAATATTGTAGTTAAATTAATTTTAGAATATTAGTAAACATTTGCGATCTCTGGTGGCATCGTCCAATTGTAGTGGTGTAGTCACTCCACGTGCAATTTCCACAAGATTTCTAGGGTGCCAATATTAAACTTCGTTGGGTGATCATTTGTTTTTTTTGTTTTTTGTGTGTGTTTAAAGTGAAAAAAAAGACGATTAATGTGGATCGTCGAATCTGAAAAGTCCAAGAGCTCATGTTTAATCAGAAAAAAATTAAAACGTGGTTGATCCACTTAGGCGGGTAGGCAGGAGATAATGGCCCAATTCCTCGGTTTTGGGGGGTGGGGGGTTGTTGGATTTGGGTGAGCTGAGCAGTTTTTGTTGGGGTTGGGGAATTGAATCACACAATTCTAAGGGGGACTTAGAGCCGTGGAGTTGTTCTTATACATTTTCCATATCTCAATCAAACAAGTAACTAATGAAAAGCTTTCATAAAAATTCTCGTACAATCGAGAATGAAGTTTGCATTTTGTAAAGAAAATAAAATATAAAAAAAACTAATCAAACAGACCTTTAATTATTTTCTTTTTAACAAATTTATACACTTTTCATAAAGTAAAAATTCATTAGATCGTTATTCAAATATTTGAATCAAATCATGAACCGAGTGCATTGCCTAGTGGACCACTTTCACAAGACATAGCCAAAAGCCAATTATGAGCATTGCCTAGTGGACCACTTTCACAAGACATAGCCAAAAGCCAATTATGAACATATTTCCCCACTTGCCTTGGCAACATACACACGTGATCCTCGTATGGTAATAAGGGACAAAGTTAGAGATTTGTATAAATGAGGCATCTTCAAACAATAAAGTTATAAATTAAAAAAAAATTAAAGAATTTCCTAAACAAAATACTTATATATTAATTCATCAGATTTTTTATACAACATATTAAAATATCTTTCAATGTTGCATGACAACTTCACGACCATCAAGTATCTCTCTCTCTCTCTCCCCTTTCTCTCTCTCAAAATAACACATTATCATTCATTCATTAATCTCCCATCTGATTTCTCAATTGATTCTTTAGAAATTTCATGATCACTCTTTCAAAGTTGACAGTAGCAACTAGAAGAGTTAATTGTAATGTCACAAGAAAGTAAACTAGTGATATACCTTACTGATGTTGCAAACATATACATTTTTTACCAACAAAAAGAATTGAGTGCGGGGCATCCACCCCCTGGCCCCGAGGGGGCTCCGTCCATGGTGGTAATGCAATGGTGGAGATAAAATCACGTATCTTAAAAAATTCTATTTATAGCAAAGCCGTAGCTAGCTATGAGCTGTATACAAATTCCTCTTCCTAAAGTTTGGATCACCAAATAAATAAATAAAATGGTTAGGAGCAGCAAGAACATTGTTTATGTGGCTGCTAGTTATGCAGATTTACTGCTTCCAAATGCTGGTGGTATTTTCCTTTTCTGCATGATCTTAATGTCCTTCTTTATAACATCAGTTGTCATATTTTCTTGCGGTAAGTCGTCTTGCAAGAAGAAGAAGAATACCGATGCGTATTATAATTATAGTGCTGCTGGAGATGGAACAGGCTGCGGAGGACATGGCCACCACGATCATAGGGGCGGAGTAGATGGCCATGGGGGCCATGGAGGAGGCGACCATGGGGCTGACGGTGGAGGTTGTTGCGGGGGTGGAGGTTGTGGCTCTAGTGCTACATGAGTAATTACTGGTCATTAATGAAGATGCCAAGAGATATAGGGAGGGTGGGAGAGAAGAGCACAGTCGTGTACCTTATAATTTCCCTTTCTTTCTTTTTATCTATGGCTTTGCTGAATTTTTTTCTTCCTTTAGTATAAAAATATCGATGTATTACTAAAAAAATGTACAACATTTCTGTTAAGAGTGGGCACGGTTTGGTTCGGTATGGTGCGATTTTGAAGTCAAAAGCGAAATGAAACCAAACCATTTGGTTCGGTTCGGTATGGTTTCAAACGGTTTCAGTTTGGTTTTTAAAAAAATAATTTACAATTAAAAATTTACACCTATTTACGCATAAAACGGTCTTCTTTTCTTATGATACATTAATTAATGAACCTGCAGCAAAACTACAGAATACTTGCACCAAACTGCAGTAAGTATATACAAAGAACAACATTTTTTTAAGATTATACGAAGCTGTTATCAGAAAAGAGAAGACCTTAAAAGTGGCAATGGCCTAACATTCATTCTTTAACAAGAATTCATGGCAGTTTGCCCTCTTCCCAACTTCAATGTGAGAGATTCAAAGTTCTAAGAGGTTTTCATAGAGAAAAGTGAAGGTGATTGTTAACTCTCTCTCTCACTTTCTTAATAAACGAATCGGCAATGTATTGACACTAATAATTAAGCATTTTGTACCAATACAAGTTGAGGTTCCCACTTCCTCTTATTGTATCAATACAAACCCCCTCTCTGTCTCTCCATAAAGCTGATGTATTGATAATAGTTAAGCATTTTGTTTCCTAGGGGTGGAAAGGGATGACATTTTAGTGTGGTTGAGTCCATACTAAATGTATGAACTCTAACAAACAACCAATTAAAACATGACATTTAATTTTAGGTGCAGTTTTCAAAAGCCAAAACCGAAACCAAACTGTTTCACTACATTGCGGTTCGGTTTCACAACCGCAACCATTTCAAAACCGAACTGTTCAGTGCGGTCTGATTTGGTTCGTGTTTTGGTTTCGGTTTTTGGTTCCAAGTGCCCAACCCTAATTTCTATAATTTGTTGTTTGTAATTCAAAGGTATTAATAAAACAACAAGGTTTCAAGAAATTCAAGCATATTAGGTGGTATGATAATTAAAGACGCATTAATTAATACAATGCGCTAATGGCGTCGATTGACAGCTATTGTGTATTACTCTTCTCAATATTGGAGTTTGTATCTCCTCTTTCACGTTCATAGAAAAGAAAAATAAAAAGATGATTCGCAATATTTACACATCATTGCACCAAAAATAAAAGTAAGGCTTATTCTTTGCAATGCCAGTTGGAACTTCATATTAATCCCACTTTAACCCTAAAACAAAAATTTCGCCTCTTTACGCATTAAACTCAATATTTTCTCTATTTTACATCATTGGAATTGTTCCTTTATAAATTAGAAATATATTACTTTTAAAAGGGTAAGCAAAAATGTTTAACAAATAACTAAAAATTTGATGTTAGGCCTTCTTTGAGTTCTCACAAATAACTAAAAATTTGATGTGATTGCTGATGTAGAAGATGAAGCTGCTTCCGTCTGGTGGTTGAGGACGCTGTAAGCCATATCTCCTTAGGACACATGGGGCGCGTTGCATACATTAAGCATGTTGGTCTGTAGTTTTGATAGAGTGGGCTAGTATATATACAAATCTTTTCCTTGTGTTTGCCGGAGGTGTCTGGAGTGTATCTTGCCGGTGACACTAGTCACGAGTCTGTTAAGTTATGCAAAGGGCTGTGTGGATAGCACCATCCTAAAACTAATTACAATGATTGTTCTTGTAAACTTGGTAGATATCTCGAGTTACACGATTTCTTGTAATTTACAGCTAATTCTATTAAATCTATTATCAATTTCAATCCAATCATCTATGGCCAAACAAGGGCCGACCGTAGATTGATTTTTCAGTTGTTGATTATATTTTGCAATTTTTCACGTCTAATTGTACTTCTTACTTTCTCAAACCATGGAGATTATGAAAATAGATGCATTCCTACAAATCTCGACAACCAACAGAGATTATTTACATGGCCCCATTAGATTTGGGGTGGTTATATAAAAGTGATCAGATAAGCAATTTTGTGCTCTATACGTGCATCTTTAACTATTTAACGGTCAGATATGCTACCAAAGAGAGAGTATTACATTTGACTGGTCGTTAAATGGTGTTGCATGTGTTAAGTAAATGCATGTAGCGTCGTAGCCAAGTCTCATGTATGTATAAATCTCTACTACTAACCTTTTAATTCTTGTGCTCCTGAGTTTCAGTTGTGGTCAACAATGTACTTTCGTGATTTAATGGTTTAGTGTACTGCCTGGGCTACGTAGACCTTTCGGATAGTTTGAAACTTGGGGGATTAGCATTGAACTAGATTTATATGATTCAATCTTTATTCAAAACAGCTTATGGATTTATCTCGACCCATTTGTTTAAATATATAAACAGATTGGAGCCGCAATAGAAAATAAGATGAAAGAAAATTGGTTAAGGTGGTTCGGACATATTAATTAAAAACCTACAAATACTCCGGTTAGAAGATACGTTTATGAGACATAGGCTAATGACAAAAGAAGTAGAGGAAGACCTAAGAATACTAGGAAAGAGACTCTAAGAAAAGACATGGAGTACTTAGAGCTAACTGAAGACTTGGCGCAAAACCAAGCTCAGTAATGTTCTAAGTTTGTACAACCAACCATGCTTAATTAGTAGGATAAAGCTTTGTTGTTGTATAAATTGATTGGAGTCTCGCTCATTTATAAACTTACGTAAAACATTAGAATTCTGGGAAGGTCTGTTGATTTATTTGCAGCCTCATCATCCAAGTCAAGGCCAGTTCTGAATAATAAAACTTCAAAGAAGTATTCATGAAGTTTCTGCAGCCAGAATTGTCAACCAAATACTTTGAAGTATAAGATATACACACACAGATATATAGTGAAGAAATACGTAAGTGAACCACTTTCACAAGACGCAGCCAAAAGCCAATTATGAGCATAATTCCCCACAAGCCTTGGCAACATACGCAAGTGATCCTCGTGTGGTAACCAGGGACGAAGTCAAAGATCTGTATGGATGGGGCATCTTCAAACAACAAAGTCATAAATTAAAAAATTAAAAAATTTATTAAACAAAATACTTATATATTAATTCGTCAAATTTTTCATACAACATATTAAAATATCTCTCGACATTGCATGATAACTTCACTACCAGTACCATCAAATCTCTCTCTATAAAAATAACATGTTATCATTCATCCATTGATCTCTCATCTGATTTCTCAATCGATTCTTCAAAAATTTCATGACCGAAAATGCTCTTTCAACTTTGGTAGTAGCAACCAGAAGAGTTAATACTTATATCATAAGAAAATAAACTAGTGATACACCTTGTTGACGTGACAAACATACATTTTTCCGCTGAAAAACAAATTTGAGTAGGGGTATCCGCTCCCATGGGCCCAAGGTGGCTCCATATATGGTAAATCAATGGTGGAGATAAAATCACTTATCTTCAAAAGCTCTATTTATACCAAAGTTGTAGCTAGCTTAGCTAGGAGCTGTGCACAATTTCCTCTTCCTAAAGTTTGGATCGCCAAATAAATAAATAAAATGGCTAGGAGCAACAGGAACATTGTTTCTGTATCTGCTGGTCATGTAGATTTACTGCTTCCAGATGCTTGTGGTCTTTTCCTTTTTTGCATGATCTTAATGTCCTTCTCTGTAGTATCAGTTGTCATATTTTCTTGCGGTAAGTCGTCTAGGAGGAAGAAGAAGAATACACATCATGGTGGAGGCGACGAAGGGGACGGAGGAGATGGCGATGGGGATGATGGTGGAGGCAACCATGGGGGTGGAGGCGACGGCCATGGGGGGTATGATGGAGGTGACCATGGGGGTGGAGGCCACCATGGGGGGTACGGGGGGCATGGTGGAGGCCACCATGGCGGCCATGGTGGAGGCCACCATGGGGGTGGAGGTTGTGGCTCTAGTACTACATGGTAATTATTGGTCATCAATGAAGACGTCAAGGGATATAGGGAGGGATGGAGAGGGGAGTACAGTCGCATGTGCCTTATAATTTCCCTTTATTTTTATATGTATAACACTTATGTAATTTGTTGTTTGTAATTCAAAGGTATTAATAAAACAAGGTTTCAAGAAATTCAAGCATATTAGGTGGTATGATAATTAAATACGTATTAATTAGCACAGTGCGCTGATGGCGCCGAGCACTAGCTATCGTATATTTCTCTTCTTAGAGTTTATATTTCCCCTTTCATGGTCATAGGAAAGAAAAATAAAAAAAAGTTCGCAATGTTTACACACCATTGTACCAAAAATAAAAAGGGCTTGAAAACTTTGAGTTTTAACGATGAGGACCACTGTTCTAAAACGCAGGCTAGGCGGCCGCCTAGGCATTGGATGGCGGGCCTCCTCCGCGATTATTATGAAATCGTTCAACAAATCGGAATGGCTATTAATCGGTACCTAGGCGGCCGCTGGGCAGGCTAGGCGGGCAACGTGGGCTAGGCGGCCTCAACGGTCTCTTAGTTTTGTAACAAAAAAAAAAAAAAAACAAAAAATCGCTTTGTATTGACGACAAGAGAGTGATCTGTTGAGGAATGAGAAAAAGATCTGTAATTTTATTGTTGAAAGAAGATAGAGAGTTGTCTGGAACTTGTTGAAACCATCGTTGTTGGGGATCACCACTAAACTGACCTACACAATTTTGTTGATTTTTGGGTTGGGTTGGTTGGGATCTGCGGTTTGATGAAGATGAAAGCTTGTTTGGTCAATGACAGGACGACACCGCAAGGAGAGGGTAACTGGGCAAGGCTTGCTTAAACCAAGTGGCAAGCGAAAAGAACGGATGGAGACTTTGGAATTGACGGCATAGAGAAAAAGAAGATAAGAGTAATTGGGTTTGGGTAGGGAGAAGTGAAGAGAAAGGATGGGACTTTGGAATTGACGGT